TTGACATGCTCCCTATCAACTGGATCTGGTTGAACACTCCCCTCTCCTTGTTTGTGTGGATGTGGATGGTCTGTAGATAACTTTTTCCAATATGCTGGCCAGAAATTTGCACTTTAATTGGTTGTCTTCTTGATCTTCCTGTTAAATTTTCATGAAAGATTTAAACTGGCCTTGTAATTCAAACCTTGGCTGTAATTCACTTGTAACTTTTTGCTCTGACACCAAATTATTAAGGCCCTTAGTAATGTATCTAGTTATAGAACATAGAATCTAATAAGAGTTCGGTAATGTTTGTGAGTTTTTCTTCCTTTGCCTGTTTTGATATCTAGTCTAAGGACTCGTCAAGAGAGAGCCTTACCTTCTCTTAAGTAAAAGTAGTTAAACTTTTTCTTTAGTTTTGTTCATACATAATTATGTCTCCAAGAGACTGCTGCTCTTGTTACAAAGGAGTAGTTACCTGAAAGTCATTTTCAGATTTATCTTGACTAGCCTTTTGTTCTTATCCTAATATTCAGTCTTATACCTACATTACTTGCACTGTTTCTCTTGATGACAACCACTATAAGATTTCTGGAGTTGAGATGGCAGAAAAGGTTACTTAGTTTCATAGGAATGGCTTACAATTGTCTTATGATGAGCACTACACGATTTATTTTGAGTAAGATGACAGAAAAAGATAGTTTCTGTAGAATTACTGCTAACTTGTGATTTTCTGGGGTAGGTGAAAACAGGAATGCTGCCTTCCATTAACATAATCAAGGTTCTTAATCAGAATCTTATAAAGTTCCCTGTTAGAGGTATGCAGCGAACAAACCGTTTTCTTCTTTTCCTTTATTTAGGCAGCTTTTGAGTTGAATTTTCTGGTGATTCGAGGCAGCTTTGGTTGTTGATCCTGTTATGGTATCTACAAGTGGAGATGTGCTGGCTGATCCATCGATTCTCTCTGGATTTTGGTACAGTGAAGCTTTTCTGGATTAACATTTTCTGTCACATGGTTTATTTTTGCATCATCCATAAGTTGGAGACAAAAACTTCATCATGTAAGTGCTTCTTAAAAATTAAAGTTTATTGCTGGCTGTTACTTGGTAATGCTCTCAACTTGGCAGCATGAGCATTTGATTAAATGGCCTTATGATGGTTATATGGTTGGGTATTCGACTTCTAGTTGACTAGTCAATGCCATACTTTGGTTATTCTTTTACCCAAACTACACATCTTTCAAAATAAAATTTCAAATTCTAGGATGGCGCAAAACCCTGTTCATGGAGCCAGGGGATAGGTTTTATTTATTCATATATGATAACGTAGCTTGTGAGAAGATGAAACTAACATGGAAGCAAAGGGCAGAAGGGAGTACTATGTTAAACTTTCTGTCTCAAACAATACTTAGTGTTAGAAAATTCCTTAATATAAGATATGAGGAAATTAATCTTCACAAAACCAAAAGATACATGTTAGCAAGTCCCGCTTTTATGGGATTTGATTTGATGTAAATGGATACCTTTCTTCTCAATATACAAGAAAATCCAGTCTCAAATTCCATATGGTATTAGAGCCCTAACTCCTTTGGGGATTTCTTTGGGACTTTCTTGCTGTTTATACTCTTGTTCTTGCTTTTAAATAAAGTTTGCAGCATCATTTGCTTGAAATTGCTCCAACACACATCCGTCCTAGTGCATGCTTATTCTCACTGTGTGTACTCATACACGCCAAAGGTGATCCTAGCAGATTGTTTCCTCTACTTTCATCAGTTTTCTTTTTCCTGTGGCCTTCATCGCTGCATAGTTGGTGGCGACTTGTGTTGCTGTCTCCATCATTGGACTTGGATTCTATGTTCACTGCTTTAATTGCTAGGATCCTTGTTGGAGCTCTCTGGTACTTGATCATTTGAAGAAGAGACTGAGATATCATTCCAACAAAGAGGAGGTCATCTTTCAAAAATATTGGATAGGCTGTGGAAGTTCACATCAATCGACCTGCAGGACAACTCCAAAATGTTGAGATAGCATATAGGCAGGATGAATTATCTTAGGTGGTCCTAATTTTTTTGAACTTATTGAAAGGAAAAAGGAAACTCAATCATCTCCTAGAAATGATACTGAAGGAAGGAGATCCAAGATTTGATGTGTGAGATAAAGTAAATTCAATGATCGTATCATGATTATAGAACTCAATGAATCCTGAGATCAACGATAGTTACATGTGCTTTTGATCACTGCTAAAGGAATTCATGATGTTGTTTGACAGATTGACTTATTTGAAAACTCTTGGTGCAGCATAAATATATTGCCATACCTTTTGTAGTGGCAAAGGGAGAGTGCTTGCAGTTTTGTTCTCCATTGGGCTTCCCTTATTAGTGACGGTTTAGATGGCTTCTAACACGATTGGACGATACCACCACCGTTGACCAATATCGGTGGTCATCTGTCCAGAATA